AAAAAAAAGATGCTTTACCCTAATTTGTTAGTGTGAATGCCTTGTTATTTTTTATACAGTATGGATATGCTAGTTTTCCATGCGTGCTCTAACCAGAAACCATTCTATAAGCTGACAAATTATTTATAGTCCATATCAAGATTGCTTTTATTAGAAAATTATGTTTTTAAAGTTACCCTTATTAAAAAATTATGTTTTGTCGATACATCATAAATCAAAGCTTAAGAGGACCTTAACTGCATCAACTTATCAATCAATGGTCAAAGACAAACATCTATATTCCAACTTGGACTATAGGACAAGGTATAATCGTATATAAAAAATAAAGTCTGGCCTCATACACATCCTTAGTGACAAGTTGTAAACTGTAAGTATAACTGACAAACAAGAATATGAAGCAACGATTTACCCATATGGATTTAATCCATTTGTACATAACTCAAGATCTATGTTCTTTGATTCACCTGAAAAGTAAGGATGCATATTATTAAAGTATTTTCATGCTTCACTTTATATTGCATAGAAGATGTAGGCACAAGGTGGATTGAACACCAATATGAAAAGCAAAGACGAATCAATTCTAAGGGCAAATAGGACAATCTTTAATAATATGGCCTTCATTCTCACAATAATTACAGAATTTCTTACAATAATATACCCAATTTCCTTGTAACTATAACACTGTGGTAAAGATCTAGATCGTTTTTTTCCTTGAGCAGCATAGGCCATATTAATTATATCAGAATCACCAGTACATTGAGCAAGGCTAAATTGTGAGGTGACATGTTCTTCTTCACGCAAGATTTCACACAAGCAAATCCCCAACGATGGAACATGTTGGCAATTAATTAGCCCAATTCATGCATTTTCAAATTCAAGTTGAAGCTTCATCAAGAACTGATTCTGATGGCTCTCTAAGTGAACTGTTTGTATTTTTGCTAAAGCTTATTTAGAAACTTGAGAATACACCAACTCATAATAATTATTTCATAAATTATTAAAGTCAGAATAAAATTGCTAAACAAAGAGATTTCCCTGGCAATAGTTTTTGATGTTTAATTCCAATTGAAATTTTCATGTAGAATTATCTTGATAATAATTTTCCAAAGGTAATCTCATATCATCTTAGCAATAGTGAACCCATGAAGATTGTTGATCATATGAGGTTCAACAAAGATAATGACCCGAGAAACAATTCTAGCATCCCTATCTTTTTATGAACTAACTTCTTTAAGACCAATAGGAGCCATAAAAGACCCATCTAAATGAACCTATAACTCTTTTCCTTTCACAAACATCCATAACTAGAATTTTCAATTGGCATAATTCTTCCATTTCACAAACATCTTGCCAGTAAGATGTACAATAGAGTTCTCTCTTGACATAATAATTATCGCACTCAATATCGTGGCGGCCTTAAAAAATTAATTCAATGAAAATAATATATTTCTGGCATTTAGTTCTTTGATGAGAAAATATCTTATTTAAAGAGTCGTCACCTAATATTATGATCACTAGGAACCCTAACTAGTCAACTAAGATTCTATAGTGAGAGACTGGTTATGGAAAAAGAAAGATATTAACACTCCTCAAGCGTCCTGCCTGAGGGAGGCTACATTGTTAGATTTATCTTAAAATGTTAAGAGTTTATTGGTTTATACTATGATGGTTTGCTTGTAATGTTCCTAACTTTGACGTCAGTGAATATTTAACTACGGATACTTCTAACTCTAGCATTGGTAAATATTACGTATTAAAAAAAAGCATGGTATTCCTGACTTTGGTGTTAGTGAATAACTAGTAAAATCATTTTAAAATCAATGCATGCATATTTTTTCTTTTTGTATTTTTTAAAATGGAAAAAATGAATTGTACACTAGATTTGTATTTTATAGAAAAATTCATAGATCAGTTATATAGTGAAATACCTAAAAAAAAAGGATCCCATAAATAAATTCAAAAAGGTCTATGAATTTTTTTGAAATTTTCTAATATCACTAAAGGGCTTGTTTGATCAAATATCAAAACAAAGAATAATAAAAAGGATTGATATAAATGTGTGTTTTGCCAAACACACTCTTGGCCCAAAATAGATTAAGCCGGCTGGGTCTGAGAGCTCCTCAGGCCCAGCCTAGACCAGTGACCCGATTGATCACTGTGACAAGGTAATTATATTTCTAAAGGGAGGGAAAATGAAAGCTTACCTGTGTAGCTGAGAACGAAACCGAAAATAATGGTGTATCAGATGATGCTCCCTTTATTTCTCTTTTGTTTGTTTTCCCTTTGGTTGTTCTTTGCTTCAGTTTTGTTTTCTCTATCCGTATTCTCTGGTCCCTCTCCCTCTTCATTTCTGTCACTGTTTATATTTGTTTGCTTATCTCTCCCTATTGGTCTTATGAGGTTGGAATGAGAGAAGGAAGAACAATAGTATGAGTAGAGAATTGACTACAAAATAAGGTGAGTGTGTGAGGTTTGTGTGAGCTTGGCATGAGAGAAGGAAGCATAGTGGAGAGAGTAAGGAGAGATCGATGAAAGGAGAAGGCATATCTGTCAATAGACTGAACTATTCCCAAAGATGGCCGGGATCTTCGATTGCTAACAAAAAAAAAGACGGTTTGCGCCCTGTGTGAGGTTGAGAGAGGGAAGCACAATGGAGACAACATGAAAGATTGATGAGAGGAGAAGACCAAGGCTAATTTTGGATTTTGGAGAAAAAAATAAAATAAAGCATGCACGTTTTCTGAACAACGACCACATTAAGTAAGCTATACTAGCTTCTGCTACGCTTGTGGTTGGAATGCATGTTTTTGTGGGTTCTACAGTTAAAATGTATGGTTTGTAACTAACCAAACCATCAAAATTATGAAAGGCACCTAAACATGAAAACTACCACGTAAACAAACACAGTCTTAAGACAATTGGATCTGGTCCTTAAAATGACAAAGAGACTTTTTGATCAATGAGTCAGAAGATGCAATTTCTTTTAGTTATCTTCCAACTTTAATGGTTATAGATAAAGCTAGAACATGCAGAAAAGGAAGTCTTGTAATGGAGCTTCCATGTCCAAAATAAAATCAAACCTAAAATAAAGGAGTTGGGATTGATCAAGGAAATCATTGTGGAAATTGCATGTAATTATAAATTAATGAGTAAAGTCTTAATTATGAAGATTAGAAAAGATAATATCAAGGGACTATTGAAGGAGGGGAATTTCAACAAAGAGTAGTGTGAAATGATGAACTAATTTGATTAGTTATTGGTAGGAACTCATTATAAATGTTTAGTTAAATGATGAATTGAGTGTTGATTAGGATAAAATCAAAAGAAAAATCCTAACCCCATAGAATGCTATCACTTGGTTAAAGTGGTAGCATAATGGTTTGAATTGTAACCAAGCCTATTTAATTGATTTAATTTGCCCATAATTGTGTATAGAAACTTTATTTTTATGGAATGAGTTTAATAAACAATATGGAGAATAAAAGTGGAATTGATTGGTTCAAGGTAATGGCAAGGAATGGAGGCAAAATTGTCAAACAATTATTTATTTATAGTAATTGAAAAGAAATATGGGATTAATAAGTTAAGGATTAAGGATATAAGAAGTAGAGGTTGACATAATATTTAATTGTAAGTCTTAATAGGGTGGAAGAAAGGAAATTGAAGAAAAAATCTTTATTACCTCAATTTTAAATTTGGTTTATTAATTAGGGAAATTAATAGGATTGATGATGATCTTTGGAATATTAATATTAAATGGAAGTGTTAAATTATTTAGGAATGCATGAAAGGGATTGAACCCAAATATAATACCCCTAAATGGAATAATCATTGAATACATCAAGGACCGTATATAATGAGGGTTTTATTTAAGAATTAAATGCCATTTCTGTGTTTAACTTTTAATAAAAATTAATTTAATATTATAATGTTTAATCTTTTCAGGTACACCCCATAGGAGTATTTCACAAATGTTGCCTTTGGTCATGTAAATGTCCTAATTAGCTTACTTCTTGTGCAGAGAATTTGATAAATTTATCCCAATCCTTTGAATAAGATAAAAATTCCTCTACCACAACAGCCTTCAATATAACAAAAGCTGATTTTTATACTGCACAAAGATGCATCAACAATTTCAGGAAAAAAAAGGAGTCATGTCCTGTTAATCTTTATCCACCATACCAAAAATTACCTAAAAACATGTAATTTATATTAAAAAATAATATAAATTATATTTTGAGATTTTACAGAACAGTTTAAAATATTAGATTGAGATGGTTCTTTAACATAATATCAAAATTTTAATGAGCAAGCAACTACGAATTTGAATTTTACTATTTCTATTTATTTGATAAAAATCCATCAAATAATAATATCTTAAAATCTTATATAATAACTTAAATTATTGAATTAAAATGATTTTTTAACTATATATTTTTCTAAATCCCTGTAGGTGGCATGGGTGCCGTCTTACAAACTTAAGGGTAGTAGCTTTTGGAGTTTAAAAATTCATCTGTGGGAGGTTTGCTAGCATCTGTAGGACCAGTAGTGAAAAATTGTGGAGTGAGACTTGGAGTTCTGCTAGAAGCAAAGGAGTTCTTGGTATAAACCAATATGGGAATATCCTTTAAATATACCCAACCATGGTTTTGTCTCATGGCTCGCAATTATAGAATGAAGCTTTCATTTTCCAATGACAAACGCGAAATTTCCAGTGATAGTAACCGCACAAACACTATTATTAATTCGTTCTCCTGACCGCCGTCCATATTTTCACAAGAATACAAAAAGATCTTTCAATTTTTTTTGACTTTGATTTTATGTAGCTATCCCAAGCACCAAAGAATCATTTACTCTTGTTTATAACTTGAAGAATTGACTACAGTTATGCTCACCTGGGACCCGACTGACAGCTATTTTATCTGGGTTGGGTGTAAAAGAAATTAATTTAAAATAAATATGATTTGATTTGATTCATCTAACAATTCTGAATAGTTTTTCTCTTACATCATCAAATCAGTCAAAACTCCCTTCCATTAAAGCTTCTCTAGGATTCCAAATTGGCAGCTGATGTTGTATAGAGTGACAAGAGAGGGTGATGTCGATCACGTGACGATTGCCTCCATTACCTCAGCCCATTTTATTTTATTGACTTTTCGGTCCCTGTTTAGATGGTGTGTATATGAAGATTTGTCAAGTGGATGGACCCGCCATCTTCACAAATCTGTTCCGAGGTTTCCCAGGGAGTCATGGTTGCAAGCTCTGGAAGGACAATAATGGAGAGTAGTAGAGGGAGGTCTAATCTTTCTTCTACAAAAACAGAGAGAAAAGTCAATGAGAAAAATAGGAGATATCAAATGAAAACCCTTTACTCCAAGCTCAATTCTCTCCTCCCTGATAAAAAATCCACGGTTATCTATCTTTCACCCTCTCTACACTTATGTCTCCTCATGTTATTGCATTCTAGCTTGCTGTCTTGCACCTTCCATGAGGAGGCCAAGCCGTCCTTGCTCTGATCATGCTTGCAGAGGATTAGAAAGATTTTGGATTTATAATTTGCATTTGGATGATATTTCTTGTTCTTGAATTGAAAATATTTGTCCTTTTGTTGAGGATTTGCAGGAAAAACAACCTCTGCCTGATCAGATAGATGAGGCAATAAGCTATATAAAGAGTCTGGAAATAAAGTTGGAGGAAACCAAGGAAAAGAAAGAAAGCTTAACATTTGCTACTCCAAAATCACCCAAGCTAAAAATCCAAGAAACGGGATCTGCTCTAGAGATAGTTTTTACATGTGGGCTAGATAATCAGTTCTTGTTTTACGAGATCATCAGCATTCTGCATGAAGAAGGTGTAGAAGTTGTTAGTGCTAATTCTCAAGCTCTCGGAGATTCCTTTTTCCATGTAGTCCATGCACAGGTAATGGTTATATTTGATCAATTATGCTGATTCTTTTCTAATCTGCAACACGTTTTCTTGACAATTCAAAGATCAACTCGAATTTATTTTGTGCAGATGAAGGAATCTGCTGTTGGTCTTGGAGCTGCAAGAGTAACTGGGAGAGTGAATAGGCTTATTAATGGATCCACATGTGAATTAGAGTTGGATTCAGAGCAATGGGATTAATCCTGAGACTAATTTGGAATTCTAAACAGTACTGAAGTCCCAAAGTTGGTAAATTTGGCACTATATTTTGGAATCTGTGTGTACTTTCTTGGAATATGTAAGATACAGAGATTTTAGAAAGAAGTTTACATACGCATGGCAATATTCTGTGTAACAAATTTAGTAGCTACTGAATGTTTTATATATATGTAATGCCTGTTCTGTCTAGTATAGTGATAAAAGCCATCCCTAAATCTGGTCGCCCGGCTCGGATCATAGATTAATTAGGTTAATTTGGATTAAATTGAATGAATTAAATTGATATTGTTTTAATTTTTTGAAGTTATATAATGTTATTTTAAATAAATTTAAAAAATAATATTAACTTGCAATTTGATCAGTCTGCCGAATGAATTTCCAAACATTTCTTTTAAGTTTAGTCCGAGCCAAGTTCTAGGTCTAGCCAATGCAGATGAATATTATTTATAAACCTCGTTCTTGTTTGGTCCTGGAAAGAGAGAGGGCAGGGCTTTTTTAATTACTTGATTTATTTGAAAGTGTGATTGCGATGATTTTTTAAATAATTTTTTATATTAAATATATAGTAATGATTTTTTTATTTTTTAAAAATTAATTTTGATATTAGTATATTAAAATAATTTAAAAATACTAAAAATTTATTAATTTGAAGTAAATACAAATTAATTTTTTTTAAAAGTATTTTTAAAATAAAGAAACAAACAGATCTTATTATTTATATTAGTTTAAATTTGGTTAAATAGGTCTAGTTTAGTTGATTCAATCAATTTTAGATTTTATATCCAAAATGGAACCATATCAAGTGATTTTTATGGTTTTTAAATTAATTTTTTCTATTTTTTCCCCTTAGTTTGATTATTTTAGTTAATTTATTTTTAAATTTTTTGGTTTTCTCGCTTCTTCAAATATTTTAAACACCTTTTTAATAAAAAACCATGAGAGCAAAAAACCTTGAAAGCAAGTTAAAGAATTTGTTTAAGGTTAACTTAATAATTTTATCATATTTTTTTAAAATAAAAATATTAAACAAACTCTAATTAATTTAATATTATTTTTATGAGTAATTTAATAATTTTATTATGCTAAAAAATCTAAAAAATACTTATAAACCTCCTATCAAAATAATAATAACAAATGAGTGTTAAAAAATCATTTTTCTTTTTAATAGTTGTAAAAAGGATAGTAAAATAATTTTATTGTAGTAATTCATATTTTTTTAATATAAAATAAAAGGTTACAATTTTTAGTGTATCGAATATTTCCTCGTTTTGTGTCTTACTCCATCTCTTAAATGCACTTTTTGCAACGAAAAATTATTATTAAATAGTTTGCTACCTATTATGGGCTGGGCTTGGACATTCAAAGTCTTGGCAGTTATCGGGCCATATTTGGGCTTTTTCAAAAGGCTCGTAAGGTGAAAGGCAAGGCCCGTGGTCAACTCTACCCATTAACCCCCACTTAATTACTATTGGATAATTACTAGCACAGTAAAGGGGTGATTTCGTCGTTTGCACCACAAAAACGAGGACCCCCCAAAACCCTAGCTCTTAACCCCGAGACCATAAAGCCCAAAACCTCACTTTCCCCACCCTGTTTGAAAAAAACCCTCCACTTCTTTTCTCGTCATAAACAGCAAAAAATGAGGCCACCAAGAGGCGGCGGATTTAGAGGAGGGAGAGACGGCGGTTTCAGGGGTGGACGGGGTGGACGCGGTGGTCCTGGCCGTGGTGGACGTGGATTTGGTGGTGGTGGGTTTCGTGATGAAGGCCCTCCTTCTGAAGTAGTAGGTGTGTTTCTTTTCATTCTCTTCCGTTAGTGAATTTGTTTTTCTTTTTTTTTCTGTACATGATTTCTTGTTTGAGTCAGAAAAAATGATGCATAAATGTGTTTTAAAGTTTTGAATTTTGAAAGCTAATGGTTGGAATTTATCTGTAAATGTACGGGATGGTAGTTGATGAGTGAGTAAAAGATGACAACTTTTGATAGTATCAGATTAAGGAGGGATTGGTTGTTGTTGATTGATTGATGGGTTTTGTGTTTTGTAGAAGTTGCATCGTTTCTTCATGCCTGTGAGGGTGATGCAGTGACAAAGCTAACCAATGAGAAAATACCATACTTCAATGCACCAATCTTTTTGCAGAATAAGACCCAGATAGGGAAAGTTGATGAAATCTTTGGCCCCATTAATGAATCTGTAAGCTCTCTAAGTTGTGTTTCTGTTATTAATATATTGTGGTAGCTTTCTTAGCTTTTCAGTCTAATAATTTGATTTTTTGGGTGCGTATGATTGCAGCATTTTTCTATAAAAATGACGGAAGGAATTGTGGCAACTTCGTATGCACCAGGGGACAAGTTCTATATTGACCCGAATAAACTCTTGCCTCTTGCAAGATTCCTTTCACAGCCTAAGTATGATTCTTGGTCTTTTCAACAATATCAGTAAAACTCCTTTGGTTTGCCTAATTTAGATGGATTCTAGTTACCATTTTCTGATTGCTTGTATTTTTGTTTGTTTTTAGTCAAGCTGACTTGGACAATGTGAAATTTCAATCTATATCTCATAGTCATTAGCTCATTAAGAGTCATTTCTCTTCAGAATTTTGCTTGTGAAATTATTTAGAAACATACATGACATGCTTTGGCATGACTTTGCTATCTATATCGGTTAAGGCATCTGTACAAGAGAATATAGCTGCAGAGATAAACTGACAAAAGTTGTGGGATAATGTGATCATTACAGGTAGCTTTTTTTTAATTCTTTAGCAAGTATAATTTATTGTTGGTTTGTTCAGGTGATATTCTTTGTTTGTGTTAGCTGGTAAACCTGCTATACCCAATTTATCTTTGTTTGTAGTTTTGGTCAGGAAACATATAAACTTTGGTCTTATTATTGAGGATAGCTAATTCTATGCATGGTTCTACCTCAGACCTTAAGGGGCATTGGTCTGTAAGCGAAAGATGATTGTCATTCTACTACTGCTGCAGCTTCGTATACTATTTGCGATGATTCTTTTGCAAATTTAATATGTTAACTGTTGAAAAAAATTAATGGGAATTGGTTAAATACTTTAATATTTTGCTCTATGCTGACTCATTGAGTTTCTGCTTAATTATGTGGATTTCAGCCCCTGGTGTTATTCTGTTTAATATAGAGATTCTATTGTTCAAATCATATTCCTTTGGTGGATATTTGCTATCACCTGTCCTGTTATCTGGCCTGGCTATTCTTTGTGTTTAGAATCTTGTGTTTGTTTTGATCAAATTATAACGGTTGTGTTTTATTAATGCAGGGGACAGGCACAAGCAGCTGGAAGAGGTGGCCGTGGTGGTGGAAGAGGAGGCAGAGGTGGTAGAGGTGGTAGAGGCAGCGGTTTCAGCGGAAGGGGAAGGGGCAGAGGTCCACCTAGAGGTGGTGGTTTTGGTCGTGGTGGTTTTAGGGGGAGAGGGAGAGGATAGAACAACTTTGTGTAATAATTTTGTTGCTCTTATGCTTTTTAAGTTGTAATTTTAAGATGCAGTGGCCAAACAAGAATCAACATTTGGATGATTCCTTGAAGAGTTTAGGCTTTTATGCAGCACTAGTTATCTCATATATATTTTAGTTTAAACTAGTTTTTACTTGTTTGGAGTTACGGCACGGGTTGGATAAAAAAAGTTGTAATGCTAAAAGATGGTTCGTTTGTGGGGAACTATTAAATTTGTTTAGAGAATTAATCTTGAAACTTTTGGATTTCACTCTTTTCTTGGTGTTTAAAATTAAAATTAATTCGTGTAAAAATTATTTTTATATGGCCTAGTTAATTATCATGTACAAAAACAATTTGAATGATAAGTAAATTTTAATGACAAGTAAAAGGTGTATTTTTGCTTTAAAAAAAATTTAAGATGATAAATAAATTCTAATCATAAGTAAAAAGTAGATCAAGTTTCTTTTTTTGAATATTTAAATAGTAATATATGAGTAGATCAAGTTTTATAGTTTAACCAATTGAATTCATAATTATTTTAATTATATTTTTATTTTATAATATGCTTATAAAATTAAATATTAAAAATAAAATTATGTAGAATAATTATAAATTAATTGATTATTAAATAATTAAATTGAAAAAAAAATCAATTCATAACAAAAATTAAAAGATGGTTTTTTTAAAAAGAAAAGATAAAAAAAAAGGAATGAACCAACTAGTCAATCTTGAATTATCATAACTTGATTTTTTATTTAATTCATATTTAAAATTAATAAATATATGAGTTATCTTGATATGAGTTAATTTTACAAGTTTAAAAATAATTTGAATGTAAAAAGTATGGTTTGACTTAAAAAATTAAAATCTATTATTATGTGAATATTGAGATGATATATTTAATTAATCTGGTTTTTTAGGTTTAACCTTTTAAATTTTTATGAATTTCATTAAATTTAATAATTTTATTTAATAATTATTTTTTATTTAATAATATGATAATAAAAATAAAAGCTCATTACATGAAAAATCAACTAAATATTGATATATTTATTTAAAATTATGATAATTTTATAAAAAAATAAATGAAAATAGATTATGAAAATTAATTTAAAAATAATAAAATATTAAAAGAGAACTTCGAAACACAATAAGAAGAGGAAGAAGAAGTAAAAAAAAAGAGAGAGAGGAGGGAGATGAACTCCTTGGCTCCCCCTGTTCCGATAGGATAGAAGTTAATGAAATGACTGGTGTCCAACTGGGCAAAGAATATACGGATGTGGGGACGGTGGGGTGCCGTGCGTGTGGGTTTTTTGGGTCCATCTTTGTCAGATTCCGAGCAATCATCGACGGCAAGGGCTCTGCAACAAAGAAAGAGAGAGAAATGGATCATCATCGGTTCACTGGATTAGATTAGATTAAATATAATGGAGAAAAATCAAGATAGATTCTATTACTGCCTTCAGAGTTTGTTTCATGGAAGTAGTAAGTTAGGGTGGTGATGAAAGTTCAATGCATGTTTAAGACCTGTTTTTGATTTTTTGCATTTCAAAAATAATTTTTAAAAAATTATTATTATTTTTTTATTTTTTACTTGTAATTAATATTTTATTAGTATTTTTAAATTATTTTAATGTATTAATATTAAAAATAATTTTTTTAAAATAAAAAATATCATTTTAATATATTTTTAATTTTTTTTTAAATAACTGCTTCTAAACTTTTAAATATCATCTAATTAAAAATAAAATAATGAAGTGAATTAGGGCTATTTTTAAGTTCACGAAACTATATACTTTTAGGTTAAGTTACCAATGCTACAAAGTTACCGTTTGAAAATGCCGTGTAGACTATATTTTTAAAAAAAATTAATTTTTTGTTAAATGTTTTTTATATTTTAAATTGTTTTTATCTGGTGATTTTAAAAATAATTTTTTTAAAAATAAAAAAAATATTATTTTAATATATTTAATATAAAAATATTTTAAAAAATAACAATTATTATATTTTTCAAACAAATTAAAAAATAAAAATAGGTTCAGCTTGCCAAGCCTCGAACTAATTGCAATAACACGAGTGGCACCGCATGTTCTCATTTGAAAGTAAGAAGGTGTAAAAATGTACGAGTATAATTGTTTTTTAAATTATTTTTTAATATATTAAAATAATATATTTTTATAAAAAAATATTTTTTACTTTAGTATATCAAACTAATTTAAAAAAAGAATTGAAATTTTTGAGAAATGTTGTTTCAACTTTTAACCATTTTCCCATAATTTTTAATTATTTTAATATGAGAATAGATTTTAAACCAAAAAATAACGATTAAAAAATAAAAATAAAAACTAAAATACAAAATAAATTTTATTTTTAATTGAAGGATAAATTTGAAAAGAAAATTAATTTAATAAAAAGATAAAAAAATATCAATTAAAAGAATAATCAAATTGAAAATAATAACATATCATAAATTAGAATTAAATAATAAAATTAAAAATAAATTAAGATTTTTAAAAAATACCAAGAAAAAAAATTAAAAAAAAAATCAAAGCAAAAATTCATAAATTAGAAAATAACTCTGAAATTCTATTTGCTTAGTGTGAAAATCAAGAGGGAAAAATAAAAATAAAAAGAGAGGGAGGAAAGCATTGGTGGTGATAAAAAATATTACCACCAACTACACACTCCATTTCAAAATAAAAAGGATGTCGCAAGCATCCCACGGTGGAATATAGATTTTTGTTCTCAGGAGGTGCAACAGACACTATCTATATGATGACATATTTGGTGTTCATGCAAACCATTTTTTGTTTGTTTGTTTGTGATTTTTTTTTTTATATTTAGGTAAATATCAAGTTTTTTCTTAACTAACTTAATAATAACAAAAAAATCATTTTAAAAATACAAAAAAACATTGAACTCCAGTTTTAAAATTTTCGTTTTCAAAAGTATTTTGATTAATTCATTGTGCTTTTTATTTTTTTTATATTTAATGAAATATCAAATTGTCTCTTTATTTACCTGATATAATAATTTTTTTTTTGTGAAAATACAAAAAAATTCTTAGTTATCAGTTTTAAAATTTTTGTTTTCAAGAACATTTTTATTGTTTTCCTAAGTTTTCAAAATTAAAAAAAAAAAGATTTTTTTTACAATACTAGCATGTTTTATAAAAAGATCTTAATACCAATAACCAGCTCAATATTTCTTGTGTGAAGGGTAAATTTATTATTATTACATTGTTTAGTGGAACAATGCAAACATATTTGTGCCTAATTCGTGTGAACAAATTGAATGATACCAACATCGGATCTTAAAATTGAATTATAATTAGGATTCTAAATTATTGAAAGATATTTGAAAAGTGGAATTATGAATAGGAAGTTCAAATTATTAAGAACCCATGACGCAATTTCCACCTTACAATAAACTTTGCCAACGAGGAATTGGGCAGTGATAAAAGCCTCGAGGGTATCCAAGATCAAATCTTTCCACCTCAAAAGAAACCAAAAAGCTAAAAGAAAACACTTATTAGGCCATAAAACCTCAGCAATTCCTCCCTACTTCCTGTAAGAGAATTTGCAGTTCATACGAGAAACACCTTAAGAGGTGGAAATTAAGGCAATACACGACAGGAAAGATGTTTAAACTCCCATAAGCAAGAGAAATCTCGACGAGTATGAGGGGCCTCGTTGAAGCCTATCTTTATTCAGAGCAGCAAACATGTCAGGCTCCCCAACCTCTAAGAACAGTAGCTCGTGCAACGCGGTTAACACCTAGAGTGAAGGCTCCCATACGCAGATCACAGTTGTGGGTTTTGCACATCTCTTTCACATCTTTGAAACCTCTGGTCATGTAATTCTTTAGTTCATTGTTCACCTTCTCTTCGTCCCACATGAATCCTTGGATGTTCTGCAATGCGCGAGCAGCAAAACAAGAAAAAAATTTATTACTTTCACCAAGCCACTATGGAAAATGTAACAGTAATGGTATTTGCAGGAAGTCCCGATTCAATGTTGCTTGTAAGAAGCAAAATAATGTCAGAAAATAGGGAAAACAATCGTAGAATTTGGAGTTCCTGTTTTCTCCTCTCGATCATTCAGACATGCAAGCTTGAAGGCATCACAGCAGAAAATGCGAGTAGAACGATTAGCAGGTGCCATGCTGAAAGAAGGGCTAGTAGTTATCACAGAGCATTTTGGCATTTCATACCTGAACCCACTCAAAGTAACTAACAGTGACTCCTCCCGAGTTAGCAAATATATCTGGAAGAATAACAACACCTTTCTTTGACAAAATCTGTAGAAAGACAACAAAAAAACAACTATTATTTCACAAAATCTTAGGCGGGCATCTATAACTCTAAACCTGGCACTAACCTCATCAGCCTCGGGATCGGTTGGATGGTTGGCAGCTTCAATAATAAATTTGGATTTAATATCACTTGCATTCTCCCTTCAATCAGACAAGAGAACAGTTAGTTCAGGATTTCAAGATCAATAATATAAAGGAAAAGGAATGCATCTTATTATTAATTACCCAAGAAATATTATTTCATTTGCAAGTTAAAATATATTTTAGAGGAAAGATCCTTGAGATTGAATATTTTGATGAGAAGAGAAGCTTCTGTTATGAAAAATAAACCTGTTGATGACACCTCCTAGGGCTGCTGGAATGAGAATGTCACAGTCCTCTACTAGTATTGATTTGGGATCGATCGGATCCCCGCCATGGAATCCTTTCACACCTTTGTGTTCCTTGGCATGTTTGAGTAGGCTTGGAATATCAAGCCCTTTGCTGTTCTTTATAGCTCCAGTGATGTCACTTACGGCAACGATCTTCCCACCCTGCTCACTGATTAGCTGAGCGGCCCAGGCACCCACATTTCCAAAACCCTGAGACATGCACCTCCATTTAGATCAGGTGAACTTTTATGCGTGAAATAATACCAAGACAAGCAGTCTCTGCGTGAATGATCTGCTAAGCTGAAATAGAGTTCAGAGTGCACCTGAATGACGAATCGTTGCCCTGATATGGTCTTCCCGTGCTCCTTAAGCAAGGCTTCTGTGGCGAAGAGCACTCCTCGTCCAGTTGCAGCATCCCTGCCTAGAGATCCACCGAGATCCTAGATTTGAAACAGACAAGTAGAAAAACCAAAAGGACTGTGATATTACTGCTAGAATTTACAAGCTAGACTGGGAGGAACTCAGCAGTAAGAAATATTTCAATGCTAAAACCTTGTGTATCCCTCCCATCAGAAACAAGAACATAGATTATTTAATGCATTAGATTGAATGCGAAAAACCATGAGCAAAGCAGAAGGAACTCCTGAATTTGCTGGCAAACAGCAGGATTGTGAGTTCAAGAAATTAGAAAAAGCGGAAGGTATCAGGAAATGACAGATATTACAATGTAGAGTTTAGTATACTTACAATTGGTTTTCCAGTAACAACAGCGGGTGAGTAGCCGTGAAACTTGGAGTACTCATCCAGTATCCATGCCATAGTCTGCTTAACCAAAACACAAGCATATCTTAATAGATTCAGAAATGTCTTCAAAACACACTTGAAAACTCTTTTCAGTTCATCACTTTCATGATACTAAATACCATATCCTTTGCAACAAGAAATGCTTTCAGTGCCGAACCTGCGGACCAGTTCCCATATCAGGAGCTGGAACATCTGTGTGGATTCCAATTAGATCATGTATCTTTTGAGCGAACACACGGGTAAGTCGTTCCAGTTCAGACACACTTAACTCCCCTGGATTACACCCTATTCCACCTTTAGCCCCACCATAGGGAATATTTGCCACTGCAGTTTTCCATGTCATAAGTTGCGCTAACGCGTTGACTTCATCTGGATCAACCTAAAATAACCCGAACGATCATAAGAACTGGAGCTCAAACTATACTAGTAATCTTGGTATATAAATTTATCTAGTCCACCCATAAACTTATTTGAGATTTAAAAAAAAAAGGAAAAATATGGCATTCGTAGACATGCTATACTTTGCAAAACAGAGAGGTTTTTCTTGGCATTATATCAAAATAACGCCATGACTACACTAGTTAGAATTTAAGCTACCTCTGGGTGGTATCTGATTCCTCCTTTCATTGGACCTCTGGCATTGTCATGCTGAACTCTGAACCCGACAAAAGACGCCAAAGTGCCATCGTCTTTGGGTATGGTACATTCAACCTGCAATTTTTTTTATCCATGTCCATTAGAACAGCAGGGCGTACAAAAATAAATCATTTTGGATGTGCTATTTAAAGGTGATAATAAACAACTTCTATAATCACCTTAATCTCTCTGAATGGAATCAGCAAACTTTTCTCAAGCTTGGAGTCCAACCCCAACAGCTTAGCTGCCCGCTTGAAGTTCCTGTTGGTTGCCACTAACGCATTCATGGTTGCTCCTGAAGCTTTCTGAAGAGCTAATCCCAGAAGTTAGTCCCTTGTTTGTGGATAAATATGAGGAAAATATACCAATTTATAGGTTCCCACAAGAACAGAAAATGGGAGGTATATCAAGCAATCAGTCAAAGTCTACCTAAAACAACAGTTCGAATATATTATGGAATATGAGACGAGGAACCGGCAAAGCAGGCAAAAATCTTTCTTCGGTCTCTTAATCTGACTAGTAAGTTTCATCCATCTTCCTCAGACATGTATAAACATCTTATAGTCATAGTCTACTTGCCAGAACTATAAGCAAATTAACAAAAGAAGACATAAGCTGTGGGTTAAATATCATGGTCAAAAAGAGTTTATCTGAAGTATCCCATGCAATGAATATATGTGTATCTTACAAGGCATTCAAAATCATTAGGCAATTAATCTTGCCATGATCCCAACTCCTCAACATCTATGACCAGTTTACCCTAAACCTGGACTTAGCCTTAACTGCTCAAACATACTCCACTAACAGATCCTCTTCAGACAAAAAAAAATACTGTGAAGTATGTGTGCCACTAATCATCCAGCTTTCAGGACCAAAACTAAATCCACCTCTCTGATATGAAAGGGCACAGGGTGACAATAATGGCAACCTTGAAATGTGATTTAATTTGATTACAACAACTTTCGTGAAAATGCATACTTGCTTGTTAACCTAGTGAGAATCTGATCTGTATCCGAAGTGCCATCCCTATCATCATCTACTACAAGTAAGAAACGCGTGTGGGGAAAGGGATCGGTGTGGGTGCTAAACAAAGTAGTTGGTAATTAGCTTTGCTAATAATTAAAACACTGTCTATTAGATAGTAACATATCAGTTCTGCCGTGGAAAAGTAAAAACTCTTATACTTTCTTAATGTTTCCTCCAAAAATAACCTTATCGCAACCTGTCTGGCTGGCTTCGATGCTGACACACAATAAACTATTTGGACTATGCAAGCACACAACCATTCTAGACCGTTGAGTTTTTCTAGAAGTTTATCACCATCATCACCAGGAAAAGGACAATCTTGAACTAGTAAAGAACTCACGGCTAACAAGCTCTAAGATGTTGGTTAACTTTGCAGAGTCACATATACTGTTAATGATAACCAAATTAAACAACAAAGAAACGGCTTGCTTACATGGAGCTGACTAGTGAGAGTTATCAGAGCCAAAACTCCAAGGTGATTAATCAAAAGCAAAAACAGCAAGCTTCATTATATATATATAAGCTGAGGGAGAAGGAGTTCTTTGATTTGAATCACCATAAAGGGATGAATTTGGAGCTGGGCTACAAGGAAATTAATAATGATGAACAGTACCAGATTATAAATATTTGTAATTCTCTGTGTTTGATAGGCTCGGGCAACGTCATTGGGGCTGGGTTCATCAAATTAATAAATGTTTACTGATATGGTTGCAAGGTAGATAAGCACAAACATCAATATATACAGTGTTCATGGAAAACAGAAAAGAAAATACTACAAATAGCCGTGCTATTCTTTGATATCAACGTCAAAATCATTTCTACTAAGTTGTCAAAATTATGGCCATCCAAAAGAGGAGCCTTCATGAATATTTTTTTTTTCTTTAATGAGGCTGGGGCCTTGTTTTCATCAAATAATCAAAGCCAAAAAAAAAAAGAGAGGCAAAAATAAGGATAATAAAGGCAAAAAAGTGTAAAATAGAGAGGACCTAAACTCAAAGTCCTCTCCAACGTCCCTAGTCCTCGCATCAAATTAATAAGCTCAGGGACGTGGGGAATAAAATTACCAAAATTTTCTCAACACTTTAGCCCTTTTGGCTTCCTTTTTAATAAATGGCCAAGTGACAAAAAACCAACCATATGTCATCTTCCTTTGCGTGAGGGTACACCAAACATGAACTCCATGGCATTTCTTGAACCAGCAAAACATAACAAAATCACAAGACACATAAAGAGGATAACGTTAACGAAAAGTCTTACCCCAAGATGTAGAGAAGAAGACAACTCGATCTCCTCCCAAATTCAGCGACGATGATCCAAGTTAAGCACCAAATCTACGAATAAATAGTGTAACATAAAGAAACTAGAACAGAATGGGAATCGAATTCCTTAAGAATCCAAGAAAGAAGATTTTATCTCCAAGTACTTGGCAACCAAATCTAAATTCTGCTAACATATATATAAATTAGCCCCAGTTGGTGTGTCTCCAACATGCTGCTAGCATTTTCATGGAGGAATATGATACCCTAGTATGTGCTCAGGACAGCATCAAGCCACTCAGCATCCATTAATTAATGTTGTCACAGGTTACACACACAGTTGGTGATCGTCATTAGAGAATGTTTCAGGATAGAGAGAAAGTAAGAGAAAGAGAGAGAGAATCATCATACGTGGAAAACAAAATCTTCGACTTTGGCAAGATTTTACTGCATGAACGTGAATCCTACGCGAAACCCATCATTAATGCTGTTGAAAGGATTTATCAGGGGCTTGCCAGGTAGGGGGGTTTTATAGAGAAATTAAGTACTGCTACTAAGCCTGGCTTTGCTTTTGGTCATCGTGATCATGATGGTGTGTGAAATAGAAAGACTAGTGTCCATTACAGGTTATTTAAATCTTTGCTTTTCATGTATAGTCATTTATCAGCCAGAAAGATTGCATAAAGAGAGGAAAGTGAACGGAAATGGAGAAGAACATGATTAAACTATAACAAATTAAAGATCAAAGTTTCAGTTTCTTGTGAAATTATGGTATGATCTTTCTTTTCAATAGGTGCACGTCTTCTTCTTTTTTTCCCACATATAGCGACGGCAGTGTGATTGAGAGCTCGGAATTATCAAAATTTAATGAATTTTAATACACTTTGAATTGTTAATAGTTGATAATTTAATGTCTGAAAAACTCTCAAGCATGAAAATACTAATTCTAGTTCATATATATCATCTATGAGTAATATTCTCCCAGCTGCTCCCTCTTTTACACATGATTATTCCTTTTCATTCCAGTTCAAGATTGGGTAAAATGGAGCTGGGTAATGAGTTCAAGATTCTTATTGAAAAAAAAATAAAAGGTTTGAAACTGCATTTTGCCTTATAAAGTACACTGCTGAATTATAGAAAATTATATTTCTTTAGAAATGTCTCATACGAGCTACTTGTATTGGAGGATGCAGATAAAACCTTATCTACTAGGCCAGAGGATTTTTTTTTTTTATTGATGGTTCTTTTCCATGCCCTCCTTTTCATATTATCTCATCAATCATGGTTGCTCCTATGGTTAATCCAGCGTTCTTGTCATGGAAACAAAAAGATCATTTGATCATGAGTGCTTTATCTACTGAGATTCTACACTTGGTTCTTGACTGTCAAACATCACAAAATATATGGCAAACTCTTGAACAATCTCTTACATCTTTATTGAACTCACAAATTATGCAACTTCACGAGTCCTTCCAAGAACCAAGACAAGAAGATTATATTATTAACAAAAAGCCAAGTCCTTTTTGATGAGCCTGTTGTCGCTGGAAGACCAGTTACCTTGGAGAACTAATTCAATCATTATGTGTTAGGGGTTTGCAAGGAGAATTTAAAGACTTGGTCACTAGCCTCTCAACCAAAAATATTGAATCACTCATTACATTGACTTGCATAGTTATTTTCCCACTAGCCATATCAATCTCATTGTCATGATCCAATCCCCAGCACCATGAGCAGCAGATAGACAAGTTCCTTCAGTATTTTTTCCTGAACTCAAACAAACATGTAAACTTTTACCATTTAAACAAACTAGAGTTATAAAAATATATAAAATGGTCAGGTAATCTTTCCTTTATGTCTTTTATTGTATTAGAAAAGACCCAACTGGCTGCCAATGAATTAAAAAGAAGAAGAAAAAGAAAACAGCATGATTGATGTAAAATAAATACATGATGGCCGCAAGTTAAATTGAGAATTTAATAATTTAGTTCAGAAGCACTTAATTGATGGACCTCAAAATAGCTTTAATTAGGAAGGGAATCTCTCATATGATTCTGGAATGTTATGAAAAACAATGGCCTTCATTTGTGTTCCCGGCTGACTAAAAGGGTGCCCAAAGGCCATCGTCACGTATGAGGCGTCACGAATTTGTAAATGTGCCTATACAGACAAGCCTCACCATGAATTTTTGTCAATTGTTTATTGCTAGACATGGCTGTTTTTCTACTCATGCTCCATGTCGTGGTGGCTTCACCTCTTCTTTTAATGAGGGGTAGCGCATGGAGCTGGGGGGGTGCATCTGGGATAGAGGATTTAGTGGCGTAATATAAAATCCATGAGCCCATGACATATCATAGAGTGACTGTCTTTAATTTGTCAGTGTATAAACCTCACACCTGCATAAATTAGAAACAATGATGCAATTCCTTTAGAAAGCTTAAAACAGGCTTCGCCTGCACAGCATTAACATGAACTATTATTGTACTGTATCTCGTAAAGGGTTAGTAATAATTTTTTTATATGTTTTTTTAAAATATTACATCTAATAATCATATTGAATATCTAATAATCATATTGAATTCAAAATAGTTAAGTCTAATATTTATTTTCAGATCTAACTCTTTTAGATATGCAAATAACAACCTAAAAATTTAAAATCAAACTTAAAATTCTTGAACCTGGTTACCGGTAAGACTTGTTATCCTTAAGCTTGGCATTCAAACCAAGAGTATTTGGTATGACCGCCAGATTCAAGGGTATTATTATTAATAATTTTACCCTTCATGTTAAATCTAATATTTTTTTCAATAATAATATTTTTTTTAAAATTATTAATAATTAAAAAATATTATTAATAATAATTACAATAATAATATTTACAATATTAATAATAATATTAAACATGTCTAACTCAAGTTATTATAGTTTTTAATTTTACCTTTTACGTCAAATCTATGGTTTTTCTTTGACAGTAATAATATTTTTTTTTTAAATTTAATAACAACAACAATAACAATAACAACACTTACGTTCCTTGGATATGGCATGCCCTTCCAGACCTAAGTAACTTAGGTTTGACTCTTTTGACATACCCTAACTCTTAGGGTTCGGTCGTTCCACATCCAAGTTTTTGGGATCTGGCTGAACCTAACCTAAGTTACTTGAGTATGACATCACTTTCTAAACCCAAATAACTTACGTGTAGCGTCCCTATCAAACTCAAGTTCTTATAGTTTTTAATCACTTTAAATCAAATTTATGGTTTTTCTTCAATAGTAATAATATTTGTTTTTCAAATTTGTTAATGATGATAATGATTATTATTATTATTATTAATTTTACCATTCAAATCAAATCTATAGTTTTTTTTCAATAGTAATAATATTTGAAAAAAATTATTAATAACTATATTAATAATAAAAATAATAATATTTATAATATTAATAATAATATTAAAAAATGTGTGACCTAAGTTTTTATAGTTTAAATCAAATATCTAGTTTCTCTTCAATAGTAATAATATGTTTTTTTTTTTAATTCAACAACAACAACAATCATGTGTGATGTCAGACCCAGACGCGGGGGTCCATAGACCTAGGTGCTTTTACAGACCTAGACGCAGGTCTAGTTTGAGTGCCTAGGATTTGGCAGACATATCCAACCCCAATGGTAGGTGTTTGGCAGACATGTCTAACCCTAATGGTAGGTGTTTAGCAACCATGGTATTCCCTAAAGCCCCAATGGTAGGGGTTTGGCAGACATGTCTAACCCTAATGGGAGGGGGTTAGCAACCATGTTATTCCCTAAAGCCCCAATGGTAGGTGTTTGGCAGACATGTCTAACCCTAATGGTAGGTGTTTAGCAACCATGTTATTCCCTAAAGCTAGATCCCAAAAAATCTCAACGGATCATTTTATCACCAACCATTCTTTCAATGCTTAATGTGTCCTATAGAAAAGACAATTTCACTTATAACTGCATGCTTAACAAGTTTCTTTGGTAAGGACAATTATATCATTGCACTACTTTAAACAATAATAATATGTATCTTGGTGAATAGCATAATGATCAATAGTAAAAACCCTATGCCATTTAGCTTTTTTTACAACATGGTCAAATTTGATGATTCAATAGCTTATGGGAAAAAGATTACAAAATTCTAATTTCTAAGAGTTCTGAAATGGGTGCATGCATATGCTTGAAATTCAAATTAGACCAAATATGGTTAAACAAAAGGTACCTATATGTTAGAAATCATACAAGGATCAATAATCTAACATCCATTCACTTTGATTATTAAAGAAACCACATGATTTGGTCAAAATAGATTTTGATTCAAAACCAAAACCCTATGACTAAATTCCATAAAAAACTTGTTATTGGTGCAAATAAACCTTAAATTATCTATTAATCATGCATAATGAAGGTGTCTGTGCAAAAAAAATGGACCAAAACTAGTCCGAATCTTGGGGTTAAGACAATGTTTTTTTTAAGAACATGAAGAACATTACCTAGAAAAGCTAGCAATATGCCTAGAAAAGTCGACCACTGGAAAGCCCTAAAAATTGGTATTTTTTACCTCTAAAATATGTTTTCTTCAATCCAATAAGTCATACTACCATTCACAACCATGTTTAAATAAAAAAAACTAAGAAATAACATCAAAACATCAAAATCAAGTATTGAATACCAAAATAAAAAACTATCAACTTAAAACCGATTACATATTCATGCAATATGGATTTAAAATTGGTTTTCAAAACTCATCTTGGTCATGAACAGACCTAGTACAACCATAAAGAACTTCCTTGCTTAAACATGCATTGCTTAAATTAAACAATATTGTATTCACCTCTTCAATGTTGTTTTTCTTTATTTATTGAATTTTTTTTAATTTTATTTTATATGTGTATGTGTGTGTGTGTGATATTGTATTCACCTCTTCAATGTTGTTT